ACCCCTTTTTGCCCAATGTTTTGGGTTTCAATTGATTGTTATTTAAACGCTTTTAGGTTGATCCACTTGTTGTTTTCCCCCTTTGAATTTACTAGTTTTAGAAGTGGGTCTGCCTCATCCTTCTTTTGTTTTACTTCTTTTTAAATGGTTAAGTCATAAAGATGGGTATTGATGATTTAATTAATTGGAAGATATAGAAAACCTTAAATCACCTTAAGCATAAGTTAAAGTGTAAGTTTCCTAGAACTTTAAGTGCACACCCTAGGTGAGAGTCTATCAACCTAGTCCTCGGTTTAGGTTTCCTACACTTTAGAAGCACACCCTAGGTGAGAGCCCATCCACTTAGTCCTCAGTGTAGACCTCTTAGACTTTAGGTTGTACACCCTAGGTGAGAATTCATTGACCTAATTCTCAGCATATGCTTCTTAGAGTTTTAGGAGCACATACCTTAGGTGAGAGTCCATCCACTTAATTCTCAGCATAGGCTTTTAGATTTTAGGGGCACGCCCTAGGTGAAAGTCTATCCACTTAATTTTTAACATAGACTTCCTAGATTTTAGGAGCACACCTTAGGTGAGAGTCCATCCACCTAATTCTCAGCACAGACTTCCTAGGTTTCAGGAACATACCTTAGGTAAGAGTCTATTCATCTAATCCTCGAATGCACAATGAAACTAGACACTTGACCCTAATTCACAAACTGACTAAAACACTAGACATGATGCACCGAGACGTGACCCATGCTTCCTTAATTAAATCAACAGTGAAATTCCCTTAATGACTTAACCTACAATAAAACCCAATGCATCGGGATTTGAGCTTGAATATTACACTCAAATCCTCCTGACAATTGGGGAAATTTCTTAACGCCACATATAGATCATCAGACTAGTATGAGTCTACAATCTAAGTGGCGTAGGTGGCGAGGGCGATGACGACATTGCTTATGTGTGCTTAAACGAGGGATACGAAATGAAATTATTAAGAATAGTATTTCCTACCTCAAGGATCTTCAATAAAGGAGAGGAAAGGATCCATGATATTATTCGCCGACTCTTGATGGGATCGTTGCCCTCGACACTCTTAGGTTGTCAGTAGTTCTAGCACGATTAGAGTGACTAGTCTGTGGACTGTAC